TAAATCCAGAAAGCTCGTTAAATGTAGATTCTTTTGTTTTTGAGATTACATGTTTCTAAGGAATTGAGTCTCAAATTTTCAATCCATATTTATTTGAATATTTTTTGATTTTTAAGCTTTTGATTATTTAATCTACCAGAGCTGAAAACTTAAGAATGGGATATCCTTAATCCCGATCGCTTAATTTGAGTATCCAACGTATACACACTTTTGATTTTCATCCTAATCCTCTCTTTTGGATACCCCTACTGTATAAAAGTTATGATTGATAACAATTACAAATACGATGCTATATCGATTGGACTAATATCCGATTGAACTTATGTCAGCTGTTCACAAACCGGCTTTTAGAGCAGTTGAACAAATATAAATTTAATCATGTTTTTGTGAACTTATTAAAAACACATTCTATTACATTTGTGAACTATTGATTTTGAACGTTAGTTTAAATAAACATAAACCCAAAACTTACGTTCGTTCAATCGATCATTATTTCAATTGATATGACACCATCAACACCAAAAATGTGCTAATATTAAAAACCGGTTTTTCAAAAGTTGAAGAGCGTATTAAAATGACACGCTGATTGGTTGAATTTTAAACGTACTAGGATTTTAGGGCGCTTCGCGCCCATATTCTATTTCAACTTTTAATTGTGGCTTTATCTCTGAACATCTTCTCTTTGTACAGTATAAAACAAACACAAAAAAAATTGCGGATTTCATAATATTTTTTTGCGCATTTTCAAAATTTTTCAAAAATAAAAAACTTTTAAACACAAACTTTTAAAATTTTGATCATTCATAAACCTTCCTTGGGGTCACGTGAGGTCCCACAAAAATTTTTGGCCCCGATCGGTTCAGCTGTTTTGACGTTTATTAGATACAAACAAACAGACAAACAGACAGACAAGCCAAATTTATATATAGATTTCTTGGATATCGACATGCGTATATTAACTTAATCTCGGGTTTAGTAAAACCAGGAGATCAAGCATTGATCTTGATATCCACCATTCTAAAGTTTTCAGCTCATATCAAAGGTCTACAACTAGTTGCAAAGAAAAAGAGTTTGAGGCGATTATTCCTGTGCTGGTTCAATGCGAACAGAGTCCGAACTTAATGAATTTAAGCCGCGTCTAAAAGTCGCCAAAAACCGGTTTCAATTGAGCGCCGGCTTAAATCTTGAAATATTGAATACAATTTTAAGTGGAACTAACCATATTTGAGCAGCGTCTCAAATCTAAGCGCGGCTCAAATTCTTTAAATTCGGCCTCTAAGCTTGTAAGTATGTAACAAAGAATTTATTTTTATAAAAGAATATTGTAGAACGCCATTAAAATAACTAAACTCAACTATAAAAGAAATTCTTTAAAGAAATATGTTATGGAAAGGGGAG